CATCGTACAAAATTTTAAATAATTTACTAAAAATGTTTATAATGTTGAAATTGTATTCTATAATCGATGATTTAATTATTTGATCTTGATAAAAATTAATAAAAATAATAGGTCTCCATGACTTATTGTTAAATGAATATTAATTAATTTAAGGATATTTGTATTGTGTTTGCCGCTTAATAACTGTGGTGTTACCATATTATTTTTTAACTCCCACACGCATTATTGAGTAAAGATTTCTGATGTTCGCGGGTCTTAATTGGAGTCCAGTTGGACTTGCATCGGATTAAGTCTACTCAGCCACATTATCGACCATGGACATCGAGTTAATTAATTGATGTTAGAATAAAATTATTGGGGCATTTTGGCACGCTTGACGAGACGTATGGGTTACCATTAGGTATTATTATTACAAACGATAGTTTTGTTATTTATTAGTAATCGAAATCATTAAGGAAGAAAGAACTCTATTCTGGACTTAATATATACAGGGTTGTCAATGGGTATAGCGTAAAAAATAGTAGTAAAAAGAAATTGTAAACAGAGTTTGTGACATTTTTATGCAAGTTTGTAAAGTTCTGTAGCATTATTCGATTTCTTTTGACTTAAAAAAATTGTCTCTGTACACGTAGACATAAAAACAGAATGATTTCTGTGGTTACACCTCTGATTTTTTTGAAATTTTAGTATGCTCTGCAATTCACTATGTTCGTGTTGTCTTTTCCTACTCCCAGCCCAGTCTAATTTACCGAAAAATGTATTTATTTGATTACCTAGGATAATTAGGTGTCGGTATTGAGAAAAGGCAACACAAACGGAGTGAATTCTTTTAATATCTATGGTCACAGATGCCAAAGGCTAAATTTTCATTATACCTAAAGTTCATAATAACATTTTTAAATTACCTAGTAAAAAAATTATTTAATAGTTATGAGTGCACGTGCTTGTAGTTAAATTTGGCGAAAAATAAGGCACATTAAGGTATGTGTACCCTAATTAAGCTTTGTAATTGATATAATAATTACTAAATTAATTTTCTGATATAAAAGTTGAAATAGACCAGGTTAACATTTTATTTACTTCTTTTCTTACTGTAAACAATGCAGAAATAAACTGTTTATTAATGGTTAAAGATTTAAGAAAGATTCTTGTATAAAGCTATTCAGACTATTAATAAATTTTATCATTATGAGTACAAATTCTAATTAAAGGTTGCCTTTTAACTTTAACCTGAGTTACACATTTTTTTATTTAGTGTTAATTATTATGGGCATAATTTAAAGAAAAAAGAATAAGCAAAAATCGTATATTATAAAAAATACAAAGCACATTATTTAAACGTGACTAGATAATACTATTCCCCTAAACATTTTACAAAAATAATATCATTATATCTTATGAATATTTAGTAAAAATATTTACAAAATTTTCTGATACCAATTACTATGAATTATCATAAATTGTGTACTTTATATTCTAAGAAATTGTCGTGCTTATATATAAACACCTATGACAAAACAGTATAATTGAGCATTTGTGGTGGTTAAATAGTAAATATTAACAATCAATTACAGTAATTATGATACATACAAAAAATGTAATAAACAAATATAAAGATTAGTCATTATATTTCTGGTAGAGGTATTTTTTTATTTAAATTTGATGTACAAAAATAGCTTATGCCTGAAAGTAATTTTTTACAGTTAATTATAAGTTATTATTAATTAATTGAATTTCTTATAGTAGACTTAGAGCAGTGGTGTTTTGTGGGTTGCGCACATTGTACCTTACATTTTAATTTATTCTATTTAAAATTGTATACACAGTGTGTCCCATTCAAGATTGGCAGGCTAATTCAGGCAAATTAATATTATATATAAACAGAATTATTAATAAAATGCGTACAAACGTATAATTCCTGTTAAAGTTAAACTAAAATTTCGTTTAGTTAGTTAATAATGCATATAATAATAAAGAAATAAAAATTTAAATTTGAATATCGAATGTGTAATGAAGTAGATTGATGATATTTGTAAATAAAAAACCAATAAGTTTTAACTACACGTATTGATAATTGTCCAATGTTAAGTTATTAACTAATTTAAGGGGACGGATTAATAATGGTCAACAGGCGCTTAAAAATTTTTCTTTAAGTCCATATTTGTAACAGATTGGTGCGCTTTAACTGGTTTGTTCGGAGGAAAGATTAGGTCTTGACAATCTAATGGATGATTAGCGCGATCTGTCTTATGACATGGCGGATGTCATGTCACACTGTCACACCGCTTGGATTATCATAACTCGGACAAAAACCACGTACGCCTTCGAACTTCAAAACACAACAACTCGTTGCATTCTCCGGTCATTATTTTTCAAAGCGGCAAACATACGATTGCTCATTATGTAAAGTAATATAAATAAAAGAAGAACGTAAAAAATACGCCATCTTGATGTTACCTAGGATTAATGTACGTGTCCGCCATCTTGAAAAAAGCGCAAACGTACAAGGCAATACAATTTAATTAATGTTTTCGTTTCTTTTTATAAAGCATTCGCAGTTCCAAATATTTTGCGCTATTATACTGCTTAAATGTATATAAACAATAGGAAAATGAATTTTTGGTTTTCACAACTTTTAAATTAATTATATTTATATTAAAGCAAATAAGTTTTGTAATTATCACAAAAGTTTCTCAATATTATCCATTTATTAATATGATACTAATCAATTGTCAAATACATTATGATTATAGCGATTATGG